AGTTGATGAGGTGACATGGAATGAAGGTTATTATTTCTTATTATATAGCTACGTGCATCCACGTTTGTGTGAGTGTGTGTGTCTGCCTGTACTAGCCATGACTTATGCTGATTTGATAGTGCTAGCCCACTGAGATGCCATGCTACAGTTAACATGAAGACCCCACTCAGACACAGTATACTGACTCCGAGGACGCGGCCTTTACCCTTAGGGGTATTGAAGAAGGTACCTTTGTTGTGTTCATTTGAAAGGTATATGCCACTTAAATAGACTGTTTTAGCGTCTAAATCTGAGGGGTATTGCAAATCTTTACAAACATTCTAAAAGAGAATGATTGTTTTAATGTAACTGGATGATTATTTCCCTTTCGTCATTGCAACGTAATGTTCCGGGGACCCGTTTTACAAAACAACCATAGTGCTACGACAGTATTAAGTCCCGATACCAAGTTCTAATTTAGACTGGCACTATTAGCATCTCAGATCTTTCGATGTAATGAAACTACTGAACACACACCTTTATTGTACGTTCCGTAACCGACGCAAATATAAATTGTTAATGCAAGAAAATAAAGTACTAGCCTAGATTCTCCACAGAAATAGGTTGCATTTGGCGTAAAGGGCAAATTAGATGTGAAAGTTTTATGAATGGAGCACTGAAAATCAGTGATGACAGCAGGTATTTATGAATAGGATAGCATAACTGTCCTGCTCCACCGGTAGCACCCGCCACTCACACAATTTGCATAAAAAGTAAGTATCTATCGCCTGATGCCGCACAGCAGTACTCCTGACACGCGACGACAAACTGTAAACAGAGACCATATATGGTCTCTGCTGTAAACAAACCAGACAATCAAGTGGTCGAGAAAATCCTGTGACACGATAGTGCATTTACTCATTTTGTTAAGACTAATAAAACCGATATGTTCATTTTTGAATTACGTCTGCTGTGTACATGTGCAAAGATTCTGCTGCTTATAAGTAAAGAAAAACGTTGAAGAAATTAATGTATTCGTTTTGCAACACAGTGAGGGCTGTTTTGATGTCTCGGCCCAAACATTTGTTTTGTAGTTGACTCAGCATAGATAAACGCTACTGAGCTTGTGATGAAACTCGGGGACTTCAGTCCACCAGCTGACCCAGTTTAAGTAAACATAAAATGCAAGAGAATTAATTACCCGCCTAGATTATCAACCGAAACAGATTCACCTGTAGACAAACAAAGATGTCCTTTGAGCAAGTTACGGCATAAAGGCTGAATGCAGCTTCAGGAAATCATCAGTTTGGAAGGTCCATAAGAAGGATTTCAAAACCTGCTTCTTCTCGCAAGTCAGCATAAGTCAGGATACATTTATCAGATTTGTCAGGATATATTAAATCAATAAAAGCGACAAAATCCTTTCCAGAGGCCATTGTGCGATTCCGTTCGCGAATTTTCCGTTACTTATGAGGAAATTAATAATGCCATGTATCTAATTAAACCCGGTAAAGCAAAGTGTTGATATGTGATAGAAATGATGAAAAATATCAAAAAAATATTATCATGCAATGTACTCTGGTATCAACACGACAAACTTAAGGAAAAACAAACGGGGTTGCTGTAAATAGAGTTACATCTGTGTTACGTTTGGGAATAGGACATTCAGGCAGGAAGTAGGCACTCCATGTCCGACGTTTATGCTCCCTTCCTTGCTGACCTGTTTCTTTATGCATAAGAGTCTCAATTTCTTTTCGGATTGGCAAAATCAAAACAAGGAAATTGGCCAACAAGTTTAACTTTAACTTCAGGGGTATACATCATCTGATATCGTTCTATAAATAGTCAGTGAAAAGTCAATATTTAGATCTATGCATGAAGATCCAGAGTAACAAAACTATACACGAGACTTTATGACAAGAGGGATGCTTTCAACTTTCCCTTTTTGTCGAGCAATATTCCAGCAGCTCCAGCTTTTAGTGTCAACTTTGGTGTACTTTTGAGGTTCAATCGAGCATACTTTTCCACGAAGATTTCAAAGAGCGCCATACGACTCTTGCTGAGAGTTGTTTGATCTGGGTTACAGCAGTCAAGGCCTTAGAAAAGCTTTCAAAACGTTTTATGGTAGACATGTGGAAGACATTTCCAATCTGACGCATCAGTGAAAAAAAATGATGTCCGACCCAATTTTCTGTTTTGACTTTTACCATAATGTCCCCGTGTTTGACAGTTGACTTGCCTTTGCTTGTGTTTGTGACGCGTTTTCGCGAGCACATGGTATAATCACTATTTGATAGTGATTCATCGACACATTCTCATGATGTAGAACCTGAGATTCATTTGTATACAATGACTTTAAGACCATATCGTTCAGTATTTATACGCGTATGCCCATTACGGAACAATGAAAATTGAAAATGAATATCTCCGTTTATCCCTTCTATTATGACAAAAACAATACCTCTCATCTTTTATATTTTTCTAAAACACTTAAAATGAAACTCTTCCTCGCAAATGAAATAAAGTTTGCATATATACCATGTCTACAGGAAGCACATTATAACGATAGGCGCAACGATAATACAAGTATTATATTGTACATAATTTGAAATTATGTATATGGTCCGGTGGCCTAGAATACAATATGCTTCTAGACTATTTCTCGATCAAGTTTACTAAATAATATGATACTCCTACGATACAGGCTACAGAATATATAACATATATGTGAATTCCCTCAATAAATTACAGACACGATGTTGTATATTATATAAAACACCTCATAAACTGCACCACGTGACAAAGAGGCCCCCATGTCACCTACTGTCAATGTGCCCATCACTCCCTCTTGTTGTGTTGTAATACAACATTACAGGGATACCTAGACGCATTCGCGGCATGCTACCTGAGTCTTATGTTCTTTTGATTCATATTGAATACAATCATGTGGACATCCGTCGTTCCTCTGAAGCTGTTATGGTATATCTAACTTACCAGTGAGATTACACAGAACGCGTTGTTCGTAGTATGTTTAAAACAGCATTGATTTCGTTAGAACGATTTACGAATATTTTTTAGAAGACAAACATTTTGATTTACAAATATAAATAAATCTGTAAACTATGAGCATTGAGTTATATTATATACACTTATTATTTATGTGTGGTAGATAGTTTCTGATAGTATTTAGGATCCATAAACACATGTGACTTATTTTGTTATATCAGTATCAGAACCTATCAAGTATCTAAAAGTATTTCGGGGCGGTCGGGAAGCCTAGTGGTTAAAGCGTTCGCTCGTCACGCCGAAGACCTGGGTTCGATTCCCAATATGGGTACAATGTGTGAAGCCCATTTCTGGTGTCCCCGGCCGTGATATTGCTGGAATATTGCTAAAAGCGGCGTAAAAATCTAACTCACCCATTCACTCTGAACGTGTTGGTGAGGAGAAATGGGATTTAACCTCTCTGTTCAAGATTATTTTACTTTAAAAGCACATACAATCCATTGAATAGTGGTCTAAAGTAGGTATCCAGGTTCAAGGTGATGCATATTTTATGCATATAACAATCTATTTAATGAAAATGTCTGAACATAATTTCAACAATTCATATTCATGTACATTTCGGAAAAGGTGAATGAAGGAGTGAGTTTGGTTTGTTGACGCTTTTAACAATATAGCAGCAATATCACAGTTGATTTTAAAACATTAACATTTTAAAATTTCTTTTGGTTAAAGAATTGTACAAGATGTAAACAGCATTGTCAATAATTTTGTATTCGATTTGAAGGAATATATTAGCACTCAAACTATTTAAAGATTCCATCAGTTTTATGTTCAGAAATATATACCCGTCTTTATAAGTAGTCTGTTTTAAGTTTTATTAAACCTTAGAAAGCCTATGTGGGTCCATTTTTTTCGAACAAGAATCCTTGGACGTTAAAGGCAAACTAGCACTAAAAAGTATATGAAGGGATATCTGAAAATCAGTGAAGCCATCAAGTGTTTGCGAACTTATGGCTTTAGGTAAATATCTGAATATGAAATTAGTTATGTGTCATATCACATTAAAGACAACTCATATATTATGTACTTGTTTAAAAACATTTAAAGTTTTAAATATGTTTCTACAATATAGCCTGAAACAGTATGTACTTCGAATCCTCATCCATAAGAATAACATGTTTATTGCAGTTGCTTATAGCGTAACACAACAAAAGAACAGTTTACAAACACAATGGCTTTATTTTACAATTAAAAAAATACTTCACAATGATAGACCTTTTATTTAAGACTTGCAAACAACCGTCAACGAACTTAAGTGAAAGCTTCAAATGATATTCTTAATCCCCCAAATTACTACAATCATGGTAGGTCGAATCTCACAAACATATTAATTAGGAACATCTGAGTTTTTGTTAAACAATTAAAGGTAATCGCGACATGAGTAGTACATGTATATCAATCATCCATCATAGCACTCGTGTCAGCCTTGTATTATTACAAAACAGCGTGAAGCGCCGACTGACACCTTGTAATGTATTACATGTGATCCATTTGACTCATAGTTAATACCATCTTAGACACGTTGTGTTTGACTTATTGCTGATTCCGTAACGTATGGTTTATAAACTGCAGCTGAGCTGGTGATAGAATCATTGGCTTCATTAGTTACAGTAGCACTCTAGTTCGGTACAGGGACAATCCAAGCCAGGTAAATTCTTTGGTTTTATCAGCCCTGATGATACATACATATTTATACATTGGCTAGTTTTACTGAAATACCGGAATGCAAGACTGTTGTTACTGATATAGCTGTGTTGCATTCAGGAACATGAAATAAATGCAATTAATATTGTTTTGAGAATGCATGTTAAGAATTCTGAACTATACAAAGTATATTTTTCAGACAAAATGAAGATCATATGCCTTTGCATAGCTCTCTTTGGCGCTGCAGCCAATGGTAAGTAAATACTCGCGTATACATATATACATTACAAATATTAACTACATATCTTTATCTGTGCGAATTAATCAACTGCATAATTATATATAAGTACAGTTTGTGTTGCGAGTACAGTTCATGAATATTCTCAAAGATAAGACACTGTGCACAATTCTATTGCAATATCATAACTCTCATCATTCTTTTCCAGCTCAAAGTACTGCACATGCTTATAACAACGTCAACCAGTTTAGTTTCCCTCCAATGAACAGCCATCACAGTCAAGGCAACACTGTATCCACGGCCTATGGTTACCATGGTAACAGTATGTCCACCAACAACGGTAACCAAGGTAATTTTGTTTCCAAAGACAACGGTTACAAAGACAACAAGTGACAGTGGTAGTTGTAGTGGTAGTAATAGTAGTAGTAATGATAGTAGTAGCAGTAGCAGTTAAACGATATAAGGAAAGTAATATTAGCATAAGTAAACGATAACTCACATGAAACATCATTTGCTTGCAGCTCAAGCACCTGCACCAGCTTATCCCACGATGAATACCAACGCTTACCCAATGTCAAACAACTACGCCTACCAAGCGAATGATTACAATGGTTACCAAAGCAACGTCGCATCCACTCAAAATGGTTACCAGAGCAACACCAACAACGTCAACTCTTACATGCTTCCAATGATGATGGGTATGGACCAAGAAAGTCACATGGCAACTCTCGGAATGATGATGAACTCGAGGCAGGGCAACAACATGCTCCCCTTCTACATGATGAACCAAGGGTATGAGAACATGCTGCCCATGATGGCCTTCATGAACCGCGGGAACCAGAGAGGCCAGAGGATGAACCCCTTCATGATGATGACTCTTCATGAAGCGATGAACTAAAGAATTGACTAAACTGTGGTGTAATATTTGAGTGAATGCGAGAGGTTGAATATTTATGTATGTTGGTTAGATGGTATCCCGTGATGCACTCTCAAAGCGTTGATATCACGAACTATTTATTGACTAATTTATGAAACAATAATAATTTATTGAATAAACTTTCTTGAATCATACATGCTATATGTTTCTTCTTTTAAACCTACATACCACACGTGAAGAATTGATGATACCGTTACGTTACATTCGTTCAAACACACTCATTCACTTAATCGGGATCATGAACAACGGCAACAAGAGAGCCTTCCGCATTAACGTGACAATACATTTACAGTGTCGCCGTATTGATGATACTGTTCATTACGTTCATTCCTTATGATTAATTCACAAAGTGGGGGCACATAAAGCGACAAAACCCTTTCCATATCCAAACGAAATCTTTACATAAAGCAGAGTCGAGAACCATTCCGACTAAATCATGAGCATGTGTTTTTGAATCACTCTCAAATAGTAATGATACCGTTCAACAAAGCGATCTTAGCTATGTTTAAGTATGGGAGTTACGATCATCTTACCGCTGAGATCGCTTTGTGGAACCGGGCCCAGGTGAGCGTATCCTGCCCCACCGGTGGCAACCGTCACAAACACATGCAAAGGTAAGTCAATTGTTCATATAAAAACACACGGGAACATATGGCACAAGTCAAAATAGGGAATAGTAATGACAGCAGGTATTGGTGAATAGGATAGCATGACTGTCCTGCTCCACCGGTAGCATCCGCCACTCACACAATTTGCATAAAAAGTAAGTATCTATCGCCTGATGCCGCACAGCAGTACTCCTGACACGCGACGGCAAACTGTAAACAAACCAGACAATCAAGTGGTCGAGAAAATCCTGTGACACGATAGTGCATTTACTCATTTTGTTGAGACTAATAAAAACGGCATGTTCATTTTTGAATTACGTCTGCTGTGTACAAGTGCAAAGATTCTGCTGCTTATGAGTAAAGAAAAACGTTGAAGAAATTAATGGAATCGTTTTGCAACACAGTGGGGACTGTTTTGATGTCTCGGCCCAAACATTTGTTTTGTAGTTGACTCAGCATAGATAAACGCTACTGAGCTTGTGATGAAACTCGGGGACTTCAGTCCACCAGCTGACCCAGTTTAAGTAAACATTAAATGCAAGAAAATTAATTACCCGCCTAGATTCTCAACCGAAACAAATTCACCTGAAGACAAACAAAGGTGTCCTTTGAGGAAGTTACGGCATAAAGGCTGAATGCAGCTGCAGAAAACATCAGTTCGGAAGGTCAAAAGAAGGATTTAAAAAAAACTTCTTCTTCTGGCAAGTCAGCATAAGTCAGGATACATTGTATAAGAATTGTCAAGATATATTAAAGAAACAAAAGCGACAAAACCCTTTCCAGAGTCCATTGTGCGATTCCGTTCGCGAATTTTCCGTTACTTAAGAGGAAATTAATAATGCCATGGATCTAATTAAAACGGGTAAAGCAAAGTGTTGATATGTGATAGAAATGTTAAAAATATCAAAAAAATATTATCATGCAATGTACTCTGGTATCAACACGACAAACTTAAGGAAAAACAAACGGGGTTGCTGTAAATAGAGTTACATCTGTGTTACGTTTGGGAATAGGACATTCAGGCAAGAAGTAGGCACTCCATGTCCTTCGTTTATGCTCCCCTCCTTGCTGACCTGTTTCTTTATGCATAAGAGTCACAATTTCTTCTCGGATTGGCAAAATCAAAACAAGGAAATTGGCCAACAAGTTTAATTATAACTTCAGGGGTATCCATCATCTGATATCGTTCTATAAATAGTCAGTGAAAGGTCAATATTTAGATCTATGCATAAAGATCCAGAGTAACAAAATCTATACACGAGGCTGTGTGACAAGAGGGATGCTTTCAACTTTCCCTTTTTGTCGAGCAATATTCCGGCAGCTCCAGCTTTTAGTGTCTACTTTGGTGTACTTTTGAGGTTCAATCGAGCATACTTTTCCACGAAGATTTCAAAGAGCGCCATACGACTCTTGCTGAGAGTTGTTTGATCTGGGTTACAACAGTCAAGGCCTTAGAAAAGCTTTCAAAACGTTTTATGGTAGACATGTGGAAGATATTTTCCAATTTGACGCATCAGTGAAAAAAATGATGTCCGACCCAATTTTCTGTTTTGACTTTTACCATAATGTCCCCGTGTTTGACAGTTGACTTGCCTTTGCTTGTGTTTGTGACGCGTGCCACCGGTGGGTCAGAATACGCTCACGTTTTCGCGAGCACATGGTATCATCACTATTTGATAGTGATTCATCGACACATTCTCATGATGTAGTACCTGAGATTCATTTGTATACAATGACTTTCAGACCATATCGTTCAGTATTTATACGCGTATGCCCATTACGGAACAATGAAAATTGAAAATGAATATCTCCGTTTATCCCTTCTATTATGACAAAAACAATACCTCTCATCTTTTATATTTTTCTAAAACACTTAAAATGAAACTCTTCCTCACAAATGAAATAAAGTTTGCATATATACCATGTCTACAGGAAGCACATTATAACGATAGGCGCAACGATAATACAAGTATTATATTGTACATAATTTGAAATTATGTATATGGTCCGGTGGCCTAGAATACAATATGTTTCTAGACTATTTCTCGATCAAGTTTACTAAATAATATGATACTCCTACGATACAGGCTACAGAATATATAACATATATGTGAATTCCCTCAATAAATTACAGACACGATGTTGTATATTATATAAAACACCTCATAAACTGCACCACGTGACAAAGAGGCCCCCATGTCACCTACTGTCAATGTGTCAATCACTCCCTCTTGTTGTGTTGTAATACAACATTACAGGGATACCTAGACGCATTCGCGGCATGCTACCTGAGTCTTATGTTCTTTTGATTCATATTGAATACAATCATGTGGACATCCGTCGTTCCTCTGAAGCTGTTATGGTATATCTAACTTACCAGTGAGATTACACAGAACGCGTTGTTCGTAGTATGTTTAAAACAGCATTGATTTCGTTAGAACGATTTACGAATATTTTTTAGAAGACAAACATTTTTATTTACAAATATAAATAAATCTGTAAACTATGAGCATTGAGTTATATTATATACACTTATTATTTATGTGTGGTATATAGTTTCTGATAGTATTTAGGATCCATAAACACATGTGACTTATTTTGTTATATCAGTATCAGAACCTATCAAGTATCTAAAAGTATTTCGGGGCGGTCGGGAAGCCTAGTGGTTAAAGCGTTCGCTCGTCACGCCGAAGACCTGGGTTCGATTCCCAATATGGGTACAATGTGTGAAGCCCATTTCTGGTGTCCCCGGCCGTGATATTGCTGGAATATTGCTAAAAGCGGCGTAAAAATCTAACTCACCCATTCACTCTGAACGTGTTGGTGAGGAGAAATGGGATTTAACCTCTCTGTTCAAGATTATTTTACTTTTAAAGCACATACAATCCATTGAATAGTGGTCTAAAGTGGGTATCCAGGCTCAAGGTGATGCAAATTTTATGCATATAACAATCTATTTAATGAAAATGTCTGAACATAGTTTCAACAATTCATATTCATGTACATTTCGGAAAAGGTGAATGAAGGAGTGAGTTTGGTTTGTTGACGCTTTTAACAATATAGCAGCAATATCACAGTTGATTTTAAAACATTAACATTTTAAAATTTCTTTTGGTTAAAGAATTGTACAAGATGTAAACAGCATTGTCAATAATTTTGTATTCGATTTGAAGGAATATATTAGCACTCAAACTATTTAAAGATTCCATCAGTTTTATGTTCGGAAATATATACCCGTCTTTATAAGTAGTCTGTTTTAAGTTTTATTAAACCTTAGAAAGCCTATGTGGGTCCATTTTTTTCGAACCAGAATCCTTGGGCGTTAAAGGCAAACTAGCGCTAAAAAGTATATGAAGGGATATCTGAAAATCAGTGAAGTCATCAAGTGTTTGGGAACTTATGGCTTTAGGTATATATCTGAATATGAAATTAGTTATGTGTCATATCACATTAAAGACAACTCATATATCATGTACTTGTTTAAAAACATTTAAAGTTTTAAATATGTTTCTACAATATAGCCTGAAACAGTATGTACTTCGAATCCTCATCCATAAGAATAACATGTTTATTGCAGTTGCTTATAGCGTAACACAACAAAAGAACAGTTTACAAACACAATGGCTTTATTTTACAATTAAAAAAATACTTCACAATGATAGACCTTTTATTTAAGACTTGCAAACAACCGTCAACGAACTTAAGGGAAAGCTTCAAATGATATTCTTAATCCCCTAAATAACTACAATCATGGTAGGTCGAATCTCACAAACATATTAATTAGGAACATCTGAGTTTTTTGTTAAACAATTAAAGGTAATCACGACATGAGTAGTACATGTATATCAATCATCCATCATAGCACTCGTGTCAGCCTTGTATTATTACAAAACAGCGTGAAGCGCCGACTGACACCTTGTAATGTATTACATGTGATCCATTTGACACATAGTTAATACCATCTTAGACAAGTTGTGTTTGACTTATTGCTGATTCCGTAACGTATGGTTTATAAACTGCAGCTGAGCTAGTGATAGTATCATTGGCTTCATTAGTTACAGTAGCACTCTAGTTCGGTACAGGGACAATCCAAGCCAGGTAAATTCTTTGGTTTTATCAGCTATGATGATACATACATATTTATAAATTGGCTAGTTTTACTGACATTTGGGAATGTTAGACTATTACTTCTTATAAGGCTGTGTTGTATTCATGAACGTAAAACTATTACAATTAATACAGTTTTGAGAATGCATGTTAAGTGTGACGATCAATCAATACAAATTTTTGAGAAGTGCCGTGTATTTAACTTGAACGTTCATTTGCGTCTTCCAGCATCTTAGTACAAAGCAGTACCAAAACTTTTACAGACAATTTTATGACAGTAAATCAGAATTCTAAAATTTACAAAGTATATTTTCAGACAAAATGAAGATCATATGCCTCTGTATTGCTCTCTTGGGCGCTGCAG